GTAAAAACTTCAATTGAATTTCAATAAAGTTAAAGGCATGGCCTCACCGTTAATATTTAAAAAAAAAAAAAATAATAATTCAATATTATTATTAAATATAAAATATCATGATAGTTGGTTTAAATTAATTTTTAATATTATTTTTTGTTTAGTAATTGCTTTACCTTTTGTAATTTCAAAATATTATTATTTCAAAATTCTTACCAACAAATTTTATAAAATTACCTGAATATATAAATCATTCTTTTAACTTTACAGATAATGAATATCTAAAAATAATTTAGATACTTATGTTTCAAGAATTAAAGATTCTCCAAATTAGAATTAAAAAAGAATTTTAGATTTATTTTATGTATTATTTTATTTTTATAGTTTAATTACTGGTTTTTTTAAATTATAGTAATTTTATTATTAGTAATAATTATTTTAAAATTTCAATTATTATTTTTATTATTTTTGGTATATCAATTTTTTTATTATAATGTTTTTATGCTAGAAATAGTATTAATGATAAAGAAAAAGAAATTATCAAAGAGGTTTTAACAGGAATTATTTACTAATAATTTAATTAATTTTTTTTAATTAATATTTTTTTATTTTCTATTCATTAATATGTAATTATGTATTTTTAAGCATATAATTGTATTTTTAATCATTATAGAAAAATTTTGTTCTTTAAAATCTTTAAAATCTTATAAAATTTTTTTTTATCAAATTTGATTGAATAGTTGTTAAAATATTTAAGCTTAAATTTTTACTTAGAAAAAATTTGATTCTTTTTTATTGACTTTCTCCATATACCAATCACATATATATTAATAGATTATCAGATAAAACTCCAAGCAACGTTAGAATCTGCTTACATAGAGGAAAAGCTAATGCCTTAGAAATTCAATTAATAAATAGAATAACTTCTATTTTAACAATAAAAATCAACTATTCATTCTTCCAAAGTGCTTGAGCGATTAACTGTTGAAAGGATTGAATAAATATATGAACATACTTTCAAAAACAAAGTTTTGATCATTGAGGCCTTAACTTATGTGAGTCTTGAATTTCTAGTTGATGCAGTATTGGCTTTTATAGTAGTTGCAATATTGGCTTTTATGGTAGTAAAGTATTTATTTAAGAAATATTCTGATGGATAACTTGAATAATGATAAATCTAAAAGATGCAGCTAACAACCAAGTTTTTGGTACAATTTGTAAATGAATCTCTTCATAAGCATACTCTAATAGTGAAATAACAGAATTCATTAGTGCTTTTAATTTTTATGTTTAATTGTTATCATTTAAGATATTATGCACGAATAGTATTTTCATCTAATGCAATTGGAAAGGATCAAGAAAAGTTTTAGACTCTAGTTAGTGCTTCAAGTTGGTAAAAATTTTGCCAATCAACCAGTTGCCAACTAGTGTTCCACCAAAAAGAACTGGTTGAAAACAGCATTTTTATTTGCATAAAAGCAGTATACCACAAAAGATGCCTGAACTAAAAATCATATATATAATAGTGTAGGAAAACCTACACCAGAAATGGGCTTTAATTTGTATTTTCTATATGCCTGTTACCAGTAGCAAGCCTTTAAAGTCCTTCAAAGTTTTCGGTTCCGGTTCAGTTCCAAGTCTGGATTCAGTGACTTTGAAGACTTGCTACTAATTACAGACATGCAGAAAATACAAAGTGAAGCCTTTTTCTAGTGTAGAATTTTCCACATTATCATATATATAATGTTTAGTTCAGGCACCTTTAGTGAAACACTACTTTTATGGCTACTAAAAATGCTGGATTTAATCGGTTCTTTTTTGCAGAACACTATTGCCAACTATAGCTGCAACTAATTCACTTTTATATCATAAGACTAAATTTTTGTCTAAAAAATGTCCAAACTCATATTTGATTGAATGTACAGTATGCGGATTATCGATATTGATATGTAGATCACCAGAATCCTATATAAGTACATATAGAGATATGAATTAATCAAAAATTAATTCTCATTTAAAATGGTCTTGGGAAAAAACTGTTGTGCAATAACTTGTAATGCCTTCCAGTGAGCCAAAATTTATTTTTGTAAGATTTCAAGATAATAATGATAAGGTATTTATCTATAACATATATATATATATTAAAATTACAGTTATATATCCTAATATTTTTATGACCAAGTTGTGTATTGAGAAAGGTGTATTTGAAAATGCCTCCCTATTCAATGCTCTGACTTCAAATAACTTTCTGATAATATTCTTTCTGGTAATTTTTAAATAAATATACATCAATTCTTAATTCAATTTTAACATATTTATCATAAAATTTTTTTATGAATTCACTCAGAAAACTCCATTAAATTGTTTTAACCTTAAAGGATTTATAATGTTTATCATTACAAAATCATCATTTCATCTTATACTGTTACCAGAAAATACGTTACATTAGTTTAAATAGATAGTGTATCAGACATTTTCAAAGAACATTGCTATTAAATATTATGAAAACGCAGAAAGAGAAGTAAATAATTTTAAGACTAAATAGGTACATTAATAATTAGATTAATATCGTATTAAGCTTATTAAGCCAATGATTAAACAAACATATGTTTTTATCACTATAAGTCTTAGGCAACCGGATCTTATAATTAATTTTTCACCAATTATTGAGTTAAAGTTTCAGACAACAAAGCTTTGTTATTATATTTAGATTGATTAAGTTTTGGGTAACCGAACTTTATTATTTTCACTCATTGAATTAAAGTTTTGGGCAACCAAGCATTACATTATTATTTTTCCTCCTTATCAAATATTATTAAAGTTTCGGGCAACCGAATTTGATAGTTATTACACTCATTACTATACCTTTTTCTTCTTTTCCTTACTATATATTTCAAATAAATGATTAATTTAAAATTTTTAATCAATAGGATTTCTACTTTATTTTATTTATTTATTTATTTCAAAGAGGACTATATGCAATGAGGATAGAGATTTTTATTAAAATTTAAAATAATTATTATAAAGAACTGATTCTGGTTGTATTTTATCTTAGGTAGAAAGTAAGCACTTTTGTTTCTAGTATTTTGTTGGGAAATAGAACCTTAAAAAGATAGCAAAAGAAGAATTTGCTTCATCGACACATCATCCAATTAATATAAGAAAAAGAATTCAAGAATCAGAAAATCGTTTACAATTTGTGAAGCATGTCAAGATATTAAATTATTAAGTATTTGGAATTATTTTAACACTCATTCATTTAACTACAATATATTAGGCCAGTCTAAGACCTAATAATAGGCTTAATAAATTAATTGAAGCAATTATAAGTTCTGATTTAGAACAGTTGCCCAAAAATAAACCATTCCAAAGTTGGCACATCAACACTGACACTATCCCATCAGTTGTGTTTGATTATTTTCCATCTGAGTTCAAAAAACTTCATATAATCAATAATAAATATAGATTTATTCTTCCTAATAATGCTAAAATTTAGTTTGAATGTAGTTGGGAGTCTTTTATAAATGATTTAACATTACTGAATCTAAACAAACTAATGCATAACAGGAGAGATGAAGTATTTTTTTTACAAATATTATACAGTATGTGAGTATTTAATTTTGGATGTTTTTATTAGACACAATTCTGATAAAGATTTACTTTAGTCACAATATATTTTTGAAATATAAAACATCTTCATAACAGAAATTTCTGAGAAAACTTGGTTGACAAATACAATCTATCAATTTTTAGAACCTGCTATGTGTGATATTCCTGGGCTGTCTGTTCACTTGTAAGCTAGAAAAATTAATTTAGCATATAATGAAGAAATTTTGGCCATCTAACACTAATATTTTCACATTTTAGCACATGTGTTACTCTTTTGAGGCACCTCGGAAATGAAGAAAATTGTAAACCAGACAGAACTGTAAGATTAAAACTTGAAGACAATCAGTTTGAAATTCTATACATAGAAGGTAGGAACCCAGAATTGAAAGGAAGAAAGTGTCAAGAAGATACAGAAAAACTCTAGCAGCTTATAAAACCAAATCTTGATAAACTTCTAAGAAACCTTCAGCATATATATAGAAATAAATAAATGAAGACATTCAAAAAAAATTTATGATAATCCTCTTATTACAATTCAATCTACTCATAGATATTTTTTAAGTTTATTCTCCAATTAATTTTTTATAATTTAGAATTTTACTCATCAAAATAAATATCTTTAGAAACATCATTAATTTCGACAATTAGTGACAGAAGAGCTCACCTATTGATATGCATTACCACTTTCCATAATATTAAAATACCATTTCCAACTAAAGATCACATTCTACAACTGTCAAGAGAATTGAAATAAATTTCAATGATGTGGGAAATTCGAAATGTGTTAAAAATTATTTTTAATAATTGGAGAAACATTTTAGACAGCATGGAAGAAATAACAATAATACCAGCAGAACAACGAGTAAAAATTGATGAAAATATTCCTTAATTTAGAAACTTTATTCTCAGACAATATCAACCAATATAATACTCTTATAATTAAATAAACAAATTTTGTTTTTTAAATTTATTAAATGTTTTATCAATAAAATTAAAAAATAGGTGCAATGTTTCCTAACACATTCCACAAGTTATGTCATTAAATGATCTTTTTTATTTTCTGTTATGCAATCAATCATATATGAGGTTGTGTGTTTCTTTTAGATATCAACTTTATTTAGTTGGATAATGCATGAAAGCATATGAAATAACTTATTCAAATATAGTAAAACCTCCATAAGTGCATCCTCTATGAGTGCACACCCTCTCTAAATGCATGCTTAAATTTGGGCCCAAAAATATACATGACCTTTATAAATGCACTTTTTCTTATTATTCTCTATGTGCACATCACTAAAGTCGGTCCCAAAGGCATGTAATTATGGAGGTTTTACTGTTCTTTAGTTCAAAAAATGCTTTAAATTAAAATTCATAGAACCATTCATTGTAGAATTTTCTAGAATTTTATACTCCTAATTTTATCATCAGGTGGACTAGGTGATGGAAAAAGACAATGTTTTTAAGAAACACAGTAAATTAATATATCCGAGATCTGAGGTAAATCGATTTACACAAATTTCAGTTATTTTATTAAAAAATCTCGAGTAAATTATTAATTGTTTTCTCATTTTGCAGCTTTAATTAAAGCTAAACTTAATGTACATCACTTTGCGTGTTTGGAATCTCTCAATTTTATAAGCTATATGTTTTGTTTGTTCATTTATTTTGTTTACTGCACTTATGTTAAATTTATTAATTTTGGTTGTTTTCAAATTTGAATTACATTAAAATAGTAATATTATTAGGTATTTATATTCCTATTTATCATGATATTTAAATTTTTTGACATAAATACTTTATGATTATTTTACATTCTGACAGTCTTAGGATATGCAATTTATATGTTCATTTATTTTGTCCTTTGTAATACATTTTTAGTGTTAAGTATATGACAATTAAATTTTAAGTTTCTTGTGAAAATATATTAACTGTATTTCTTTGATAATTGATTTCGTACATATGAATTTCAATATTTTATTATTAGTAATTTCTAAATAAATTGATAGATATTCATTACAAAATCAGTTTCATCTTATTTTCAGATTTTTCATTATTACACAGAACTACAACCAAAATAATAGACATTTTTCCTCTTTAGAACAATTATAAATATCATTTCTTCATCCATAATACCATCTTCAAACACTTTTATAAGTTTCTTAGATCAAGGATGTTGATTAAATATATCAATACTAATATAGTCAATTTTATTTTTTAATATATCATCACGTGTATGCTTAAGTCAATCATTATTTCTATCACTGAAATATGACATATGTAATTTATACTATATTTAACTAAAAGAGAAAATAAAATATTTTTAGATAATAATAATTTTTTTCTGAATTGAACTTTATTTTACATAAGTTATGATTGCATCTTTTGAAAAAGTTTAATTGCTTTCTCAAATTGTATTTCTGAGAATTGTGAGATCTTCAATACATAATTAAATTAGAGTTTAATTAAATTTAATATATATAACAATACAATTTTTATATGTAAATATAAATAATTAATATAAAATTCACAAATGTAAATTATTTTATTGCTGATAAGATGTCCAATAATTCTTTCAGTCATCAAAGCCAAGAAAGTACAGAAAGCAATTTAGAAAATTCTATCAGACAAAATATAAATTTGGATGCTTTACAAAAGTTTGCATCGAACATATTTCACGTATAATGTACTTCTACTAGGTTTCAGGCCCAGGTGTTGCTCTGGGAATAGACTTTAATTAATCTATTTCTCAGGTCCAGGTGATGCTCTGGGGCTAGGTTCTAAGTGTTTTAGATCTCAGATTTGAGTTTTTTTAAATTTTAGATATTTGTTATTTAATATTAGTTTAAATTATAATTTTTTAGCTCTTAGGCCAAATAATGCTCTAAAGCTAAGCCTTAAGTATTTTAAATTTTAAACTCTGCAATTATTTTAGTTAAAAAATAATATAATATTTAATTTATAGTTTTTAGCTCTTAGGTTTAAAAAATATTCTAAAGTTAGATCTTAAATATTTTAGATTTTAACTTTACTAGTTATTTATAGATTTCTAGTTTATAGATTTAGGTAATGCTTCAAGATTAGATTTTAAGTATTGTAAATTTTAGATTTTGTAATTATTTAATGTAGTATATATTTAATTTATAGTTTATTAGTTTTTAAACCTGAGCAATGCTCTAGAGCTAGGTCTTAAATGTTTTAGATTTTAGATTCTATAGTTATTTAATGTAGTTATATTTAATTTATTAGTTTTTAGCTTTCAGATCTGTATAATGCTCTAAGGCTAGGTTTTAGGTTTTTAAATTATAGGTTTTATAATTATTTAATTTATAAATAAAAAATTGTATTAAAAAATAGTATAATATTTAATTTATAGTTTTATAGTTTTTAGATCTAAATGATATTTTAAGGCTATATTTTAAATATTTTGAATTTTAGATTTTGTAATTTTTTAAATTTAAAATTTTGTAATTATTTAATTTATAAATTTAATATTAGTTTAAAAAATAATATAAAAATTAATTTATAGTTTTTTAGCTTTTAGGTTCAAATAATGCTCTAGAACTAAATTATAAGTATTTTAAATTTTAGATTTTGTAATTATTTAGTTTAAAAAATAATATAATATATATTTAATTTATAGTTTAGATTTTGTAATTATTTAGTTTAAAAAATAATATAATATATATTTAATTTATAGTTTAGATTTTGTAATTATTTAGTTTAAAAAATAATATAATATATATTTAATTTATAGTTTTTTAGTTTTTAGACTCAAATGATGCTCTAAAGTTAGATCTAAAGTTTTTTTTTAGATTTTAAAACTAAGCAATACTTTGTAAATTAGATTTTAAATATTTTATAATTAAATTAATTATTTTTTTAGCTTTTAGATCTAAATTATGCTTTAAAGTAAAGTCTTATTAATATTTTTTATTTTTATTTTTTTTTTGGAGTTAAGGTAAGGTCATGCCTCAGGTCTGTTTATTTGAACATATTGTTACAGTTTGTACAACTTT